CAGCTGTCTCGGAAGCTGAAAATGCTGCTGGTCCAAACAATGTTGTTAACAAACATTGTAGCTGTAGATATTGCCACCGGGATACATCTGATAGATGATAATTATCTCTTAACACAGCATGTGTTCAAAAATCATTTTCATCATCTATCAATTGGTCCAGAGTCAATATCCCTGCTTCCATCCAACTTTTCCATATCACCATCTTTTCCCCAATTTTTAACGTTGGGTTTCCCCATAGAGTCAATTTAGCATGGGAAAAAGGATCAAATCTTTCTTTTTAATTAGACATTACATTTCATAGTTTTCTAATTGACATAATTGTTTCCAAAGATTAGAGTTCTATTGTATTTAGATCCTAATACTATCCATCCAACCAAAGGTGCTATATGTGTATATTCAAATGTTGATTCCAAAAAAAAAAAGTCCTGTGTTGCAATTGCTAACTGGATTACACCTTCATTTGGACAAATGTTCCCATATGCTTCCAGGAGTGAGCAAGCCAGCTCTATCTACAATATAATATTTTTCCAGACAAAAATGAAGGTACCACTCCAGGGTTACTCAAACGTTGCAGGAAACTTTTCAGGAAATACTGGAAGGTTCTGAATAGAAAGGGAATTCACACTCTCACAAGCAGTGCAGTACTTCTTTAGGTCCTGGCCAAACTGTAGTTGTTCTCAGAAAATGAGATAATTAGATATGACATATTAAGACTATTTGCAAAAAATACCGAAGGCCAAGTTGCCCAACTATCTCTGGTGTTGTAGTATGTATGTATGTTTGTGGGTGTGAGTGTGTATTTCAATAGATGACAGAACTTGGCTAGCCTTATCTGGACATAGAGGTTAAATAGGGTAATTATTTAGACAGGACACCAATTCAGGGAATTCCATGGCTGTAGACCAAACTGCCAAGTCAAACAAAATCCCAGAAAAAGGCAATGAGAAACTGCTTTTGTATTGCCAAGGAAACTACATGGATGTGCCCACACCTTTACTAGGACTCAAGCTCTGTTTGGAATGCAAAATGAGGAAATTGCTAGGCAC